CTGCTCATGTCACGTTCCCTAATAATCCGCTTCGTATCCTTCGTCTTCCCCTTCACCGTCGTTGGTCTCAATGCCAACCTCTTCGTAGTCCTTTTCCAAAGCAGCCAAATCCTCCCTGGCTTCACTAAATTCCCCCTCTTCCATACCTTCTCCAACGTACCAGTGGACAAATGCTCTCTTAGCATACATGAGGTCAAATTTCTGGTCCATTCTTGAAAACACTTCAGCAATTGCGGTAGAGTTGCTTATCATGCACACGGCTCTCATTACTTTGGCCAAATCTCCCCCAGGGACAACAGTTGGTGGTTGATAATTAATACCACATTTGAATCCTGTTGGGCACCAGTCAACAAATTGAATTGTTCTTTTCGTCTTAATCGTAGCAACAGCTGCGTTGACATCCTTTGGGACAACATCTCCTCTGTACATTAAGCAACAAGCCATGTACTTTCCATGACGAGGATCACATTTAGCCATCATATTTGCTGGTTCAAATGCCGAATTAGTAATTTCTGACACAGACAACTGTTCATGATAAGCCTTTTCAGCACTCACAACTGGAGCATATGAGGATAACATGAAATGGATACGTGGGTAAGGCACTAAGTTCGTTTGAAATTCCGTAACATCTACATTTAGGGCACCATCAAATCGTAGAGAAGCTGTTAGGGACGAAATGACCTGAGCTATTAGTCTGTTTAAGTTTGTATAAGTAGGCCTTTCAATGTCCAAATTTTTTTTACATATATCATAGATTGCTTCATTGTCTAACATGATGGCCACATCGGTGTGTTCTAGTAGAGAGTGGGTGGACAAAACCGAGTTGTATGGTTCCACCACAGCTGTTGATACTTGAGGTGAAGGCCAGCAGCAAAAGTTAAGCTTGGATTTCTTTCCATAATCAACTGATAATCTTTCTAACATTAAACAGCCAAAACCACTTCCGGTACCACCACCAACAGCACTAAACATTAGAAAGCCTTGTAGACCTGTGCAGTTATCGGCTAGCTTTCTAATTCTGTCTAGGCACACATCTATGACTTCTTTTCCAATTGTGTAGTGACCCCTTGCGAAATTGTTTGCGGCATCTTCCTTTCCTGATATTAATTGTTCAGGGTGAAACAGCTGACGATATGTGCCTGTTCTCACTTCATCTACAACGGTTGGCTCTAGGTCGACGAAGACGCAACGTGGGACCTGTGGTGGTAGGGAAAGGGGGGGGAATACTTATGCGCTTGCATATGTTACTCGGACTCTCAAACAATCACAATCCATTCTACACTAGGTCATGAGAACAAATAAAAATCACAAAATATCGGAAAGTTATTCATTTGTCTACAATTAGCATGCACACTGTTCATACGTAATGCGCGCAGGATGTGAACACAATGGAAGGAACAAATTTCGACTCGCGGATAAGTTGCGCCATTTTGGAGAGCGCATATTCATTGGAAGTAGACGCGTAAAAAAAACAAAAAAAAGAGTTAGTCAACGGTTGAGCTGTTTTTTTCGGGCCTTACGTGTTTTCCTGCACCCGTTTCTGAAAAAAAGGTATTAAAAGCATCATCGTTTGCTCTGGCAGCTTTGTCCGAGGGCATTTGACCATCCGGTTGTATTCCATGTTCTAGGCAAAACAGTTCCCTAAGAGGTGATTGCGAGGTGTGCAAAGGGTGTGCAAGTGTGCAATTGTGTTTATACGCACGATTTGCAGCGGGTGTAGAAGGATGTACTAACTGGTAAGTCAACCCAATCACATACTACGCAAACAACATATCTTACAAGGTCAAAATATGCAATGTAAACATGGGCATGTGTGCATGCAGACAAATACACAAGTGTGTGTGTATTCGTGTGAACACAAAATAAGAAGTGCGTGCACATTAAGGAAACTATTGGTAATTTTTCCCCATTTTTAATGAATGGGGTGGCACGATGTTAAAAAAAAAAAAATGCACAACTTTGGTTGTAAGGCACATAAGCCCAAAGAATGATGTGTACAGGGTGAGCACATTTTCTTCTCTTTTTTTTTGGTTACCAGCAAGCATTTCCAACTTGAATACCAGCTTGTCCTACATGAATACTTATTACTTCTCTCATTTTTATATGAATGAATGGTTATAAAACAAAAAAAATAAATTGTTTTTAAAACGTAATAAATACTAAATATAAAAATGGAAAAGTGGGTATGAGATAAAATGAGTACATAAAACAAAAATACAAAGGAGTTGGGCGATTAATTATTGTGTACGTACGTAAATGCTTATTTTACATATATTTATATTTTAATATTTGTGTTTGTAATTTTTTTTTTTTAATTCTTGTGAAATATAATAATTACTCGCAAAAAATTTGTTGTTTATGCAATTCCTTAAAACAGTAAAGGCGCAGATATGTACACGAATATTTTTTTTTTTGGCGGGAGGAGGGAAAAAAAAAAAGTGATACTCGGAAGTTTTATACACTCTTGCTTATTCATATACGCACATATGTATATATCAATATTTTACATTTCCAAGCAAGGATTTTTTTGAGGAAAAAAAAAAGTCTGTATACAAATACAAAGTAATGTTTCAAATTTTTCCTTCCCTTTTTTTTTTATTTTTATATATAATGTTTTGTGCCTATTTGTTGAATGTATATGTAAATGTATGTGTTTTTTTTTTTTTTTTTTCACATATTTTCCATTAGCATATTTATATACACTGGAAATGTACGGAAAAAAAAAAAAAAAAAAAAAAGAAAAAGATATGTTTTTTTCCTTATTCCAATTTTGTGTAAACTTTTACATTTGTTTTGTTTTATTTTTTTACTACCACATATAAGAATGCAAATAAAAAAAAAAAAAAAATTCTGTCAGGATATAAAGCTAAGTGGTGCGTTGGGTTAAGTTCTTTTCCGCATTCCCTTTTTAATCTGTTCACATAAAGCGGTCAGGATATTATTTAATGTTCAAAAGTTCGTAAAAATTCTGCTTTTATGGCACATATTTTTATGTACATAAAAGTTCTTATAAAAGTGAATGGTAAAAATTGCACTTTTATGTACTTTTTTTGCAAGCCTTTTCCCTATTTCCCTTTCGTCAATATTGTGTAAACAATTTTAGGCGGGTTAACGATATGTGCTTATGTATGAACATTTTACATGAGAATTTTATTTTGATTTTATTATTATTTTTTTTAATAATGGAAGCCCTATATATGCTTATAAGGTGTTAAAAAGTGGAGCGAAAAGAGTAAAGTGTCTATGCTTTTTAACAAATCTTCGGTTAATTTTTTTTTTTTTTTATTTAACAGAAATTGCAGAGTGTGTATTTTACGTTTTGTTCTATCAAAGGCAATGTAGTGTCCCCTGCTGATAATAACAATAAATCCGAACTTGTGAACGTTTTTGAACTGTTGGTAAAAAAAAAAAGTTTTTTTTTTTTTTTTCTCATACAAAAAAGGGTTTCCAGTTTTCATAATAAAAAAGAAAAAGTACAAAGAGTGCTACTTCCGCTTTTAAATTCACTATTAGTCGTTTTTTTAAGAAATACAGGTGTATGCATAATTCACTGTATTGTTTAAACTTTCCTTCTTTTTTTTCCCCCCCCTTCCAACGGAGTGACAATTTCCCCGAAGACAGTTGCACACTTTTTTTTGACCTTTAAATATATCTGCATTTTTTGATACTTTTAGGTTTAATTTTAATTTTTTTATTTCTTTTGTTCCCTTTTGTGTATACTAGTGGTTGCTAAAAAATGCTAACGTGGTATATTCAAAAAGCATGTTAAATAGTGTAACAATCTCTGCCTTAGTGCATTTGACATTTATTTGGCCAAAATGAAGTTAACAAAAGTTACCGTGTCATTAGGGTTGAACGCTCACTTTGCACGCGTGTCTGTAAATATTGTAAAATGCACAAGTGTGTATATACACATATATATATATATGCACGCTCGCTACTGAATTTTATTCTTACCCTCAATTAATGCAGGAAAATATTGTGAACAGGATTGGGAACATGTGTGCACAAAAAATTATCTCTTTTTTAATTATTTCTACATTTTTCGTAAAATTCGCACGTGGCGTGCACAAACGTCATGGTCGTCCCTTTTGCAACCCTAAAGTTGTCTTGTTCAAAAGAGTAGAAATTTGAGACATGAAAACGAATAGGACAGATAAAAAAACTGTGTGGTGTAATTGTTAAAACACCCTGTGCACACAACTGAACCTGAGAGGCGTTGACATAAACCTATTAAAATGTATATGCATATATACATACGTGTGTATGTTGTGCTAGGTGCTCGCACAATGCGTCATCGCAAGGTTAGTTCGTTCAACATGATCAGTGACGCTTCCTCTTTTTTTTTTTCGTTTTCTTCACCGTCCTGACCTCCACAAAAAAAGGGGGGGGGGGGGAAAAAAAAAAGAGGACGCCTATGATATTAACACAAAATAGCATTAAAAAATAAGCACAAAACTGTCACATTTTTTCCTGTTCACTAAGAATCAAACGATACGCACTGTTGTTCTATAAATATATACACATTTCTTTTTTTTTTTTTTTTTACAATATGAAAAAAAGAAAAAAAATTAAAGTGTTTTAAAAGGGGGTCGCGCAGAGGACAGCAAAATGTAAGCGTTGTGTACCACTTAAAAAAATTAATGAAAAAAAATTGCTACTGTAGAAGAACACAACGGTGCGAAGGGGGAAAAGAAGTTTTAATAGGTGAATATGCAGCAAGTACGGAACTAGTGGAAGGTTTATTCTCTTTACGTCAGCAATGAAAGTGCACATAGCGTATCTTTTGTGTTGTGAAATATACATGTGCCAACTCTACACAGAGTCAAACTGAAGCCGTAGAAAAGTGGATTCGGCACAAATGTCTGAGGTTGAGAATCGTTAGTTTTATCAAAGACTTGGTCGTTTCCGTTGAGATAAGTCATAATTTGAAATGCTTTTTGAAAAATCAAAATGGGGAAAAGGGGAAATGGACAAAATTATTCAAAAAGGACTTTTGTTTATTTCTTCTCTATTTCTGCGCATGTTTGGGCTCTGCGTTAAGGGAAAAATGAGTACATGTGGCAAAATAAAAAAAAAAACAAAATCAAATCTATTACATAGTGAGACATTAACATATACAATCTTTACATGTAGGTTTCAACAACAAAAGCAGAAATATAATTGGTACCTTAATTTTATTGCCGTGATTTCGTTCCGTAAGGACAAATTGTAAGTTTGCAACTGTTTGTACTTGAGACCTAAGCCGTGTACAATTTGGCTTAATAGTTTCTGTTCATCCTTGGAAATATCAATTTGCGTTTTCCTGAACGGAAAGAAAAGTAATTTGAGCTTTGTAAAACCCTCAGTAAGTGGGGTACTATACACATATATATATGTGTTGTACACGAGCATAAATGCTCATCCGGTGATTCCCTCTTGCAGTACAGTGCGTCCTTGTAGTATTCGGTTTCCTTTTCCCTAATTTGTAATTGTTCCTTAAAGATTTGTAAAGCCTAATGTGGGGCAAAAATGCATAGAAACAAAAGTGTGGCATCGTATGAAAGTGTATTAGGGTGTGTAACTCATTAATTTAAAACAACTCGTTGTGATTATGTTCATCAAACGAAGAGTTTATTCTTCTTTGCTTTTTATTTTCTGTATGTACCGCATTAAATTCTTTGCTTAGTTTATTCTTTGTCGTCTCTTCAACAAGTCCACTGTTCTTCTTCTCCATTAGCAACTCGGCTTCCAGCTTTATGATTTTTTCCTGTGTTAAGGGAAAGAATGAGATTTTTTTTCTTTTCCTGATAATTATTACCCGTTAATAAGACTTACAAAAGAAAAATAGAATTACATTTGTTGCTAAGTCTGAATTCCCTTTCATATTAGACATCTCAATCTTCATCTTTTCGTTCGCCTTCAAATGGAAAAAAAAAAACAAAATGATTTTACTTTTGTAAATTAAACATTGGGAAAAATCATAAATTCGTGAATATTCATTCGCTTGAAAAGGCATGTACACAAATTGGCAAAGAGTAAAACGTCGGTAAATTGATAACCTCAGTCAGTTCTTTAATTTCTTGCTGCTTTGCTTCTACTTCCTTCTGCTTCTCTTCCATTTCTTGTAACGTTTTCTAAAAAGAAAAAAAAAAATAATAAAATAAATAAATAGAGAAACAAATAAGCAACCCTTTGGGCCGAATCGGGAGTTGCATTTTCCATTTCTCACCTCATATTTTTCCTGCACAGTTGGGTCGTCTTTTGCGTCCTGCTTATCCATAATTTCGGACATTTTATTTTCTAGCTTTTTATTTATTGTCTTTAAATCGTCAATTTGTTGTTCAAGCTAAGAGAATGAAAATAGCATGGAAGATGTATTGTGCTCACGTGTTTTAATAGGTACACACAATTGCACATGGCCCCTGAAGCTTATCGACGGACAATTAAAACTGTACCTCCTTCACTTTGTTCATGTCTTGACTCGCGTCTGTCGACACTTTCTCTTTTAAATTCTCGTTTTCCTTTTTAAGTCTGATCAATTCCTCTGTTTGGTCCACATTGCTTAGTCCTCTGAAATGGGGATGAACAAGTAAAGCGCTAGGCCATTTAACAGTTCACAAAATGTTATGCGTTCAATAGAACTATCCCGTTTGCTCGTCAATGCAGACGTGCCCGTGTTTACGTATGCATGTGTAAGTGCATATAGAGAGCGGCACATTATAATGTTTTACATGTTGATTTTGTCAAAATTTTGTTCCTTCTTCAGCTGTTCATAGGATTGGCTTTTCGCTTCTCTGAAGGGGGTGAAAGTGTAAATAATTTGGGTGAAACAATATGCGTCTTTTTTTTTTTTTTTTTTTGTTTGTTTGTTTTTTTTCTCCCTTTTTTGTTAAATTACAAGTCGTTCTTCAGCTTTTGCAGGGTTTTGTTTTTCTCGTCGAGGTCTTGTTTCAGTTTTTCATTCTCCGTCTTTGCGTTCACTAAGTTGACATCCAAATCTGAAGCGAGTGTTGTGGAGAAGAATGCGAAGCAGGTATGTACATTGGGAACATTTGTTCGGATGGAGTGAGCAGCAAAATGCAGAAAATAACATGGGGTAGAGGAAACGATCTAACAAACCTGCGCATTTATCCTTGTATATGATGAGGTTACTTGACTCGAGCTTCAACTTTTCCACTTCATTTTCCATGTCCACCATTTTTTGCGTGTTATCCTGTGGAAGGCGCAAGGAACACGAATTGTGCTATTAGCGCACTGAGCATGTCTTTAACAAACCAAATAATGGCTGAACCAGGGAAAAATAATTACACTCATGTACTAGATGTACATAATTATTTTATAGGGACACATGTGTTTTTAGTTGAAAAAATTACTCTAAGCTTGTCCTCCAATTCCTTGTTGATGTTTTGAACAACCATTAGACTGTCTAATTTTTCTTTATATATATTTATTTTATTTTGCAAATTTTCGATATTGGAATTTTCTTGCTTCAGGATATTTTGTTCATCCTCCAACTCTTTGATTTTTCCTTTTAAATCATTTTCTAAGAGGTTTCTATCCTTGGTTTGTTTTTCTAAGCTGTTTTGCAATTCATGGATTTTCCTTTCTTGTTCTTCTATCTGTGTCATATATTGATTTTTAGACTTTTCACAAGCTGCATTAATTTGTTTTTGGAGATTCTCCATTTTTTCAGTGTTCTCCTCGATTGTTTTATTTTTTTCTGTGAGTGAATTGGTTAAATTTTCATTTTCCATTTCTAGATATTTCACTTTTTCCTTCAGCTGCTTGATTTCGTTTTTCATGGATTCAGTGATGTTCTAAAGGAGAGGAGTGGGGCATAAGCGAGATGTTTCTCTGTAGCCGTCACGCAAGAATATGAGCACTTGGTGGGTTCTATCATATATGTAATGTGTGGAAGAAATTTTAAAATTTTTGTAAATTTTAGTTTTTGTATTACTGCAGCTTCTGTGGGGTGGCCAAAAGAAGGATTTTTTTTTTTTTTTTTTTCCCGAGTATTCCATAAAAAAGGGGGACAGAAATTATGTACAGTATGTTATTTAAATTTTAGACACAGGGATTTAGCATCCTTATGGACGTGTATATGTAACGTGCACAATTCCCTCTATTGTTCCTCATTTTTGGAGTAGAGGTTAGATCACTCTGAGCTGATACACTCTCAAAAACGTGTGCTATTGGCTTTATTAACTAGGCATCTGTTCATTTTAAAATAAAATGGTTACGTAGACCCTTTTTCCGATTTACCTTTAGCAGCACTGTCCTGCGATGTTAGCTTATTTTCTTTGTTCGCATTTTCCTGTAAAAGTGAGAGCCCCGCAGGGGAATGCACGCATATGTATATATTTATAATTATGCAATTATCACTCGCTTTTAGCAAACGCAGAGGTAGACAACGTGTGGAAAATGAGGGGGTGGGTGGGGGAAATAATGGAGAAAACAAAATACCTCTTTATCCAGAACCTCCACAATGTTATGTATATATTTCTGCGTTTCATGACTAAGGGACAAAATGTTATTTATGTGTTTTTGCTTGTCATCCGAGACGAGGGCAGCCAGAATTACTAAGCTGTATATATCGATGAACTTGGAAAAAAAAAAAAAAGATTCGATTAATGAGTTTAAGTGCGGTGCTTTGAAGTACACCCAAGGGGGTACATATCTCTAGGTTTGGCCCCCATAGGACATGCACATAATGGCGTAGGAGCCACCTGGTTGGGTGTGTGGGCGCGGGATAACCACATATATGTAGGCACTACATATATATGTTCGGGGGAAGAGAAACGTGGCCACCCGTGCGTCGAAGTAGTTTTACCTCGTTCACTGTCAAGCTCATTAAATTTTCGATAACCCTCTTGATTATCCTTTCGAACTTGTTTTCGTGGTATTCGTTCAAATATTTTAGCAAACACTCGTAGGCATCCTTCAGGAAAACGGGGGTTAAATAAAAGGTTAGCGCGGATAAGCAGAATTAAGCACAGTTAAGCAGAACTAAACGAAGGTGAAAACACAGGGACGGCGTTTCTGCATGGCCCTTCATTTTTGCAACTGCGATGGAGTGTGTTCCCTTGCATGAGGACAATTCTATCTTGTCTCTTATGGTTGTGGGTGATCATCCCTGCCATTGTGCGCATAGGACAAAAATGCAGTTGCTGCAGTTAATGCGGGTGCTGCGTTTTGTCCTATTGTGCCCGCTGATACTGATTCTGCGATCGACACACTCGCGCGTGTTAATACTTACCAACTCCGAATGAAACTGAGCAGGGTGAATCGATATGTCAAACCATGAGGGGTAAATCTCATTCATACATAGCCAAACCGAGTAACAGGAGTATAGGTTAATTACGCTTGCGTTATTTTCCTTGGGTGTTTTATTTACACTTTTTAGAGCAGATTCATCGATCACTATTTCCACATTTTTGGCGAAATAAAATGTCTGGACAAATTCTTTTATGTGATTCACGTTTTTCTCAACATCATTCATTTTGTTGATTCGTGTTTTGACAATTTTATTTGAAACGTGTTTGTTAGGTATGTAAACGGGAGAGTTGTAAAAGGTGGGTGGAAGTGGAAAACGTGAGGGAAATACACAGAAAAATGGAAAATTTGGTATGCTCACTTTGAAGTTCAGTTGGATAATTAACATGTGCATTTTAAAACTGATTAATACGATGCCAAAAAATATATTTACAGAAGACCAAATGTGTTGTGAACGAATAAAAGTGGAAGAAAAAAAATACATAAAACATTATTGCCCATGTTTATACTATTTTACAAAATAGGCGCAAAAATAAAATAAAAAATAAAGAAAACGGTGCAAATTCACAAAAGGGTTTTTATCCATTTTTTGGAAGTATAATGAAGAAAAAAAGAAAAAAAACATTAGTAAAGTTCTCATAACGTTCATTTCTGGTATATTTAACAATTTTTTTTATCTTTTATTAATGTTGCAAATTATCTGCTGCGTTGTCTTTCACTTGGTCTGGAATTTTGTTAAGTTCACGAACGCACACATGTAAAAGAAAAAAAAAAAAAAAAAAAACGCAAAGCTTAAACGAGGAGAAGGCAAACCCTGCAGTTATGCCATTTGTTGAACTTTTCTCTCTCACTTTGTTTTGTAATTTTTTTGCTTCCGCATAGTGTCTTCCATGTTGAGCCGGACGCGTACTTGAGCATTTGTATTCCGAGAAAAAATTCGTTCCACTTTGTGCTACATTTGTGTGTAGAAAATATGTGAGTGGAAATATGCTACTGCCCGGCACTCCAAATGTGGCACCACACAGAGATCTGCTTATTTGATGGAGTTGAACACAATTTTGCAATATGACCAACCTTTATGCGAACACATATAGGACGAATGAATCAGAGTAAGATATGTGGTCCGACTTGTGTACGTGTATGCTATGGCATATACATATTCCTTTTGTAAAGGAATAACAACAGAGAAATATTAAAAACGAGGACAGCCTCAAAATGTGGTGCTACCTTACACAGTAGTGTAAAATATGGGCACATGTTTTGACATCATTGACACATTGTGTCCCTTGAATTGGGGGTTATAATAATTGGAACAGTTTATACTAATGCCTAGTGGGGTGTGGCCCCTTTTCAAGGCGTTTTTTTTTTTTTTTTTTTTTTTTTTTCCCTTCTCAAATTAGAGATGCTATAAAGCAATGTAAGAAGACAAAACAAAATAGTCGAATTAAACCCTGGGGTTGGTTCTGCTTTGCTAAAATATGGCAATAATGAAGCCAGGTAATAATAAACAGGTGTACAGATTGAGCAGGCACACGCTTATATATAAAAAAAAAAAAAAAAAAGAGGCGTTTCTCGCCTGCAAAATGATACCCTCGTTCGATTTCCCACATGCAAAAGGTACTCTCGTTCAACTTCCGCCCCCATATGCCCGGGTCATTTCATATTCTTCAACTCGCCGGATGCACCGTTCAGGCGCTTCTCAATGGCTTCACAATTCAAATCGTTGACGTAGCATTTGTTAATAATGTCATTCACAAAATTGTCCTTTCCCATGGTGTGGAGAGAATTCATTAAATCCTCCAAGCCACACATTTTGTCCACGAGCTTTTCAAAATTTTCGATGTCCAGATGGAGATTTTTATTATTTATAATCTCGTCTTTGCTTACATTTTTTTCATTCAGGATTTTTAAAAACCCTAGAGAATTTTCATTATCTAATTCGTTAAGGAGGGACAGCATATCGCACTGTTCACTCTCTATAAGTCTTAGTCTTTTTTCTAGCGATTCTTGTTTTTTTTCAATTTTTATTTGGTCTTCCAGTATGAGTGAATACATTTTATCGTAATGAGCCACTTTGTTATATATGTCCAATATTTCATTTGAACAATAATTCATAAAATTGATTTTATTTTTAACAAAGGAGGAGAGGTTACTGATGACGTCAATTATCATTTCTTTATCTAAGTCCTTCTTAAAGTACGATTCACTTTGTCTAATGTTCTTTTCTACGTTCTTTCTGTCTTTTTCTAGCTGTTTTTGTTGCTCCATTTGTAGCTTTTGCATTTTAGCATTTTGTTCAGATAAAAATGGGAAGTCTTCAAAATTCATTTCTTTTGTATTTTCATTATTTCGAAGGGTCCCCTTGGTTTCCTTCAGTTGGAAATTAAATGCATATTGCTGCTGGTTATCTGTCGTTTTGTTTTCACTCACTTGATTTATATTTTCAGTGTGTTCAACTACTTGCTTTTCTGCATTTTTTTCCTCATGCTGTAAATTGTTACTTAAGTAAACATTTTTTTTTCGATTTTCTAGCGACATGAAATTTATCATATTGCCTACCTTGTCTACGTCATCATCATCTTTTTGCGCAAAAATTTGGGACTTGTTTTGCGTTTCGTTTTTTGCGTTTCCGAAGGAGGGTGCAAACATGGATGAGTTCTCCTTTGTCGAAAAGAAGGGGTTGCTGCTACTGTTGTTAATTCCAGTGCTAAAGTTATTATTCTTATCCACCCCTCCGGAGAAGAAGCCACCCTTGCCGCCCTCTGGTTGGAAGGGCTTTCCAAAAAGGGACGAAGACTTTTGAAAGCAGCCGCTGCTCCTCTTTTGAGGATCTTCATTTTTCAGTTCATTCTTCTTGTTCATATCACCAAAAAGGGAGTTTTGCCCTAGGCCAAAATTGGATAGCTTGTTGGCGCTGTCGAACATGTCATTCGGCTTCGCGAGGTCACTTGGTTTGGAGAACTCACCAAATTTGAACTCACTCGATTTGCTCTTTTCCACGAGGTCATTCGAGTCCGTCTGATCCTTCGTTTCCTTCTTCTTGGTAAAGGACAAAGACCAGAATTTTTTCTTGTCATCCACTTTTGATTCGCTCGTTTTCTCAGATGCGTCCATGGCGGCGGCATCACCATCTGGAGCTTTCTTAACCTCGGATTTATTTTCTTCATCTATTTTGTCCTTATGTTCCTTCGACTCAATCGTTCCTTGCTTGAGCGAAATGTTAAAATTGAAAATGGATGATTTATGGGCACTGGAGGATTCTTTCCCCTTCTGTTCTTCATCGGCCGCTTGTTCCTTTTCCTCCTTTTGATCACTTTTTTGGTAACTCTCGTTAGGTTTATCTTTTAGGTTGAAATTTATTTCGCCCGCTTTTTTTTCACTGGGTTTGGTTTCCTTTGAACTAGACACTGTGTGTTTTTGTTCATTTTCGGCTTCTTCCTTTTCATCCTTTGTGGCCTTTTCGTTCGTTTCAGATTTTTCCTTCGGTTTGACCATTTGATCCTTTTGGTTGGAGGCCCCCTTTTCGTTTGTATCGCTTTTCCCGACAGAACTGAACATGAAGTTGGATGTGGCTATTTTATTCTGATCGCTTTTTTCCAAACTGGTAGCCCCTGGTGCATTTTCCTTTGTGTCAAAGTTAATGAAGGAAAAACCAAAAGGGGACTTATTTTTTACGAGATCGGAGGTACCATCCTGCGTTTTCTCAGTTTTTTCATCCTTATTTGTGGAATCTGTTTGTTCGCTCTGTGTATTTTTTTTTTCACTTTGTGCATTGTCTTTTTCTATGGCGAGTGTTTTACTCTGTTCCAACGATTGTGTTGTTATTTTTGCTTCATCCAGTTTGTTCCCTTCAGAATGTGTTTTCTCGTTGGGCGTTTCTTTTTGCTCTTTTTCTTTTTCCGTCTGGACCGGTTTATCAGGACCGCCTTGGTTCGGCTGACCTGATTGTTCCATTTGGGGAACTTCCTTCTGGGTAATAATTCCAGGCTGGTCACTTGGTTTCTCTCCTTTGGTCTGTTCCTCGGGAGAATTATTCATATTGACTGACCCATCAACGGGTTTACTTGCTAAAATGTTATTAGGGGAATTGTCTTTATTTTCATTCCCCGTTGTGGTGCCTTTGGCACTCTGGTTATTCGCAAAGAGGGAAAAGCTATTTGAGAAGGCATTTGTTTGTGGCAGATTACTACTAGTGCTGGAGTTGTTAAAGAGGAATGAATTTTCACTTGACTTGACTTCACCGGACGATTTAAACGAATTGGACGAAAAAAGATTTTCACTGTTGGTCGTTTTGTTGAACGACGACAAAAAGGGACTAGTACTGGTGTTGTTAGTCGGTTTGAAAATGTCACTTGTATTTGTCTTGGAAAATGAACTGAAAGACATATTAAAATTGTTACCTAGTGCAGCAGACGTGTTGTTGTTTGCGGTATTTTTCGTACCAAATAAACTTCCTTCATTTTGATTAAATGGTTTCATACCTTTATTAAAGTCGTCGAATGTGTTCATTTTATTTGCTGATCCGAGAGGTCTCATGGAGGACATGCCAAAAGGGGACATCTTTCCTTCGTTGTTATTGTTCATGTTAGCACTAGCAAAGAAGGACTTGGTTGTGTTGTTATTATTAAGCATAGGTGAATTGGAGGCTTTATCACCCTGTGAAGTGGCTTGTAGGGCCATACTCTGAAATGGGTTTATATTACTTTTTCCAAAAGAACTTAAACCGGATGAAAATCCTCCACTAAATGTTAATTTGTTATTGTTGTTATCTGGTTTGTTGTTACAGAAACCGCCTAAAGAATTTGCATTGGATGAATTGGCAAAAATTTGTTTGGCTGCCTCTAGCTGTTCCTTTGAGAATAAACCTCCACCTTCTGTGCTACGATCATTATTTAGTTGACTTCCTAAGGCAATGGAGCTGCCTAGGGTACTTTGTTTGAACATACTGGAGCCACTATTGAGGGTATTTCCTGCCAGGCTCCTGGTGAAACCTGGATAAACATCTTTCTTCGCTGCACTAAACAAATTTTGATTAAAAGCATTCGTGGATGCGTTCGCACTAGTGCTGGTAGTAGTGCTTCCGAACAGGCTATTATTTTTATTTAAATCATTGGGATTATTTGAGAAAATGGAATTCCCCTTGTTCAAGTTATCCTGTGAGTTCAAAGTGTTCCCAAAAAGGTTACTGTTTTTGTTCGTACCGTCCTGATTGTTCACAGTGTTACT